ATTATTTTTCTATATTCATCCTAAAAGGATGTATCAAGCACCACCTGTTCTTTTTGTCTTCTTTTACTTGAATGCTCTTGAGAGATTTTATGTAACTGGGCACAGCTTTTATTTATTTTTAAATTATTTTTGAGAAAGACACACAGAGCTGCAAGTGAGGGAGGGCAAAGAGAGGGAAACAGAATCAGTGAGGCTCCAGGCCATGAGCTTCAAGCACAGGGAGTGGATGTGGGGCTCAAACGTGAACTGTGTGAGATCATGACTCTGAAATGAAGTCAGACTTACCCGACTCTAGCCCCCAGATGACACGCTATGTAATTTTTTTTTTTTTTAAGAGTGGCAGAATATTCCATCTGTAAATCACTTTTTGGGAGTGAAGCACATTAAAGCTTTAAATACTATAGTAGACATGAATTTACTACCTTCTTAGGCATTATTGTACGCCTTAGGGAAAAGAATGAAGAAAGAAAAGATGATAAAACCATACTGTAAGACCTGAGGTAGACAAGTGGGAGATCTAGTGATTTGAAGAAGGTGCTTGTAGAATGCGGATTGGGGCTTCTTTTAAAAATACAAATTACCCTTCTGGGCTTAAGCGAGCTATGTTGTGCCGTGACCGTACTGGTCTGGGATTCCCATCGGGTCTCAGGAGTTGAAGCCACTTGCCGGTTTCTGGCTGTGGCTCAGAGCCTGGAGCTGTTTCGATTCCCCGGTGTCTCCTCTGACCTCCTGCCCCCCCTCAGCTCACATGCTTGTCTCTCTCTGTCCCAAAAATAAATAAAAATAAACGTTGAAAAAAAAATAAAATAAATAAAATACAAATTCCCATACCGTTTCTAAATCTACTGAATCAGAATCTCTGGGGATAGGATTTAGGGAGTACCATTCCCAGAGGCATCTAGGGAAGTCAGATGTGCCTTTGGGTTTCAGAGCCTCTAAAAACAATTCTTCTGCTTTCAAACAACAAATATGCTAAAATATAATTACCAAAAAGAAGTATATCCAGAACTGCGATTTTTTTTTTTTTTGAGAGGCCCACTGTTCATAATTACCCAAGTTTTATTTTATTTTTTAAAATGTTTATTAATTTTTGAGAGAGAGCGTGAGTGGAGGAGGGGCAGAGGGTGGGGGACAGGATCTGAAGCAGGCTCTGCTGTGACAGCAGAAAGCCTAATGCGGGCCTCAAACTCAGCCGAAGTCAGATACTTCCTGGGCTGAGCCACCCAGGTGCCCTATTAGTGTATCCAAGTTTTAGATTATATACTCTTTTTAATATATTTTTTCTTTTAAAATTATAGTAGAATAGTTTTAAAAATGTACATAATTAGGAAATTAAATAAAAGACATTGACCAGGAGAATAACAAATGAGATCAGTAAGAAAATACATCAAAGAGGAGAATCTGGGGTTATCTTTACCTGTCTTTTAAGAATCTTGTTCTGATCCCTCTTGTTTTTAACAGGGATTGTAAGAGTGGAACTGTTGATATTTTAGAAGAATTCTTGGGGTGCCTGAGTGGCTCTGTCGGAATCTGACTTTGGGGGCACCTGGGTGGCTTATTCTGTTAAGCGTCCGACTTCGGCTCAGGTCATGATCTCACGGTTTGTGAGTTTGAGCCCCGCATCGGGCTCTGTGCTGGCAGCTCAGAGCCTGCTTCAGATTCTGTGTCTCCGTCTCTCTCTGCCCCTCCCCAACTTGTGCTCTGTCTCTCTCTCTCTCTCTCTCTCTCTCTCTCTCTCTGTCTATCAAAAAAATAAATAAAATGTAAAAAAAAAAAAAAAAAAGAATCTGACTTCGGCTCAGGTCATGATCTCATGGTTTGGGGGTTCAAGCCCCACATCAGGCTCTGTGCTGATAGCTCAGAGCCTGGAACCTGCTTCAGATTCTGTGTCTCCCTCTGTATCCTTCCCCTGCTCACGCCCTGTCTCTCTGTCTCAAAAATGACATTAAAAAAAATTAAAAAATTCTTGGGTTTACTTGGAAAAGTTTGCGGTCCAAAACCAAATGTCTACCACCACCAATTATATTAATTTTTCCAGTAGTGTAGTAAGAATATTATGAGACTGGTAACAGCAAGTAAATATTTATGATATTGGTATGTTCTTAAATCCCCAATGAAATTATCTTTACATAAAATTAGCTTATATTCCAGGCATAGCCACAATTTTCCTCTATAGATTAAGGTAGCTATAATTATATGAAGCCATTCATTAGAAAAATAGATATTAGTAATATCATGCCCTTTGTGCTTTTAATGTAGAGTAAAAATGCAATTAATGTAGACCAATTTAGATGGATTGAATCTTGTTTATACTAATTTTTGCATGGTCACTATTATTCGAAGGATATGTAGAATTTAAATGTGTGCATAATTCCTGAAAAATTTTGTTGTGGAGTCTGAAGTAGTCAAAATAATAGCTTATTTTATTATAATTTTAAAAATAATATCTGTTATGCTTTTTCTCTTGTTGAAGAACAATTTCTGTGACGGAAGTGTCTTGACTTCTCCCTTGAATTCCAGAAAATCTGATACAGTCACAACCAAGTCTCAAAAGAAGAGTAAGAACAAACAAACAAACACTGGAGATATTCAGAAGTAAGTGAACATGACTATTTATCAACTATTTATTGATCACTTACTGTATGCTGATGTTTTTGTTCATATAGTCCACTGATAAATAAAATTCAGTCCATGAAATCTGTGAAAACTCTCCAGATGGTCTGAGATTGATGTAAAGTGAAAATAAGGCTGCTACTCACATAGCTTAGACACCTGGCTAGCACGAAGAGAGGTACGAAGTCTTCTTTATCTTGATTCTTCAGGATTTTCATGTTCCCATTTTCTCAAAATTAACCAGTTGGATTCCCTTTTCTCCTGGTCTAGATTCAGATAAGAAAAAGCTGGTCTTATATAAGGTCATCCTTACTGAAGGAGGTTGTAACTTGGCATCTAGGTCATTCCCCTACCCTCTTTTCCCCAGTCTATGCATTATATTTCTTCCCTATTATACAAAAAGCATGAGTCAGGTAGTCAGTAGTAGAGTGATTTAGTCTCCTCACAGTGCCCCTCCAGTAGTAGGTAGAGTTGATGATTTTATGAGGATATAAGCTTTCCCATAGTAATTAACAATTGGAAGAGTTAAAGAACCACAATCTAGACTTTAAAAATAGGGGCACCTGGCTGGCTCAGTTAGTAGAGCATGCAAGTCTTTTGTTTGTTTGTTTTTAGTATTTATTTATTTTTGAGAGAGAGAGACAGACAGACAGAGAGCGAGCAGGGGAGGGGCAGAGAGAGAGGGAGACACAGAATCTGAAGCAGGCTCCAGGCTCTGAACTGTCAGCACAGAGCCCGACATAGGGCTCAAACTCACGAACTGTGAGATCATAAACTGAGCCGAAGTCAGACGCTTAACCCACTGAGCCACCCAGGCACCCCTAGAATATGTAAAGAATTCTTAATATAACTTAACAAAAGACAGACATTCCCATTTCAAAATGAGCAAAGGACATGAATGGACATTATTCCAGTGATGTGCATATGGCCAATAAGCATATGAAAAGATGCCCAAGATCGTAAGTCATGCAAATCAAACCACAGTGAGATACCATCTCACATTCACTAGGATGTCTGTAAACCAAAAAAATGAAAATAGTAAGTGTTGGCAAGGATTAGAGAAATTGGAATCTTGTACATTATTGGTGGGAATATAAAATGGTGCGATTTGGCAGTTGCTCAGAAAATTAAACAGAATTACCATATGACTCAGCAGTTCCACTCCTACCCATGTACTCAAAAGAATTGAAAACAGGAATTCAAACAAATACTTACACACAAATGTTTCAGTCAGTACTTCAAACAGCCAAAGGATGGAAACAACACAAATGTCCACTGAGGGATGAATGGATAAACAAAATGTGGTATAATCCACGCAGTGGAATATTATTCAGCCCTAAAAAGGAGTCACCTACTGATACATGCTGTGACATGAATAAACCTCAGAAACATGCTACATGAAAGAAGCCAGACAAAAAGGGCTGCCTGTTATATGACTTTATTTATATGAAATAGCTAGAGTAGGTAAATCTGTAGAGACAGCAGGTTAAAAGTTGCCAGGGCCTGGGGAAAGCTGGGAATGGGGAGTTACTGCTTAACATATATATGATTTCCTTTGGGGATGATGAAAATGTTTTGGAACTAAATAGAGGTGATGGTTGTACAACTTTGTGAACATACTAAAACGCCACTGAATTGTATACTTCAAAATGATTAATTTTAGGGGCACCTGGGTGGCTCAGTCAGTTAAGTGTCTGACTTTGATTCAGGTCATGATCTCGCAGTTTGTGGGTTAGAGCCCCACATCGGGCTCTGTGCTGACAGTTCAGAGCCTGGAGCCTGCTTCAGATTCTGTGTCTCCCTCTCTCTCTGCCCCTCCCCTGATCCCTCCCTCTCTCCCTCTCTCTCACCAAAAATAAATGAACACTAAAAAACATTTTTTTAAAGGAAAAAAATGGTTAATTTTATGTTATATGGATTTCATCTCAGATGTCAAATGATTAGCAAAAAGGCTACACAAGTGTGAAAATTAAGAAAAACTGCTAAGTAACTCATTTTAGTTAAAGAATAAATTTCGATGGGAGGTGCCTGGGTGGCTTGGTTGGTTAAGCATCCAAGTCTTGATCTCAGGGTTGTGAGTTAAAGCCCTGTGCTGGGCTCTGCACAAGGCATGAAGCCTACTTAGAAAAAAAGAATAAATCTTGGTGGAAATAATAGGACTGAAAGTATTATATACATCAAAACTTTTGGGAGATGGCTAAAGTAATATTTAGAAAACTTTAAATGCCATATCAGAAAATAAGAAGAAAAGCTGAAAATACACTCAAAATGATAATGCCAGGAATACATTGCTGGCCTAATATTAGAACATGAATTAATGGGGATGGGCAGGGACCACCTCCATAGCTGGCCGCTGGCAGTACCATGGCGACCCGGAACCCCCATTCCCAAGGTGTGCAAGACTTTTGTTCCAGAAAGTTGGAGAGCTTGCAGCAGCTGTAGTACGTGGTAGCTGCCTTCTTCAGATTGCCGGTCACAGTGGCTATGTGCAGATTGACTGGAAGAGAGTTGAAAAAGATGTAAACAAAGTGAAAAGATTAAGAAATGAGCAAATACGGCAGCACCTGGAAGCAACAGAATTTTTCAAACAGAACATTGTGACATCCAGTGGATTTGTGGGAGGCTTTTTGCTAGGCCTTGCATCTTAAGGAGATGAATATTCTATCACAGTGGAGTCACCTGTAAGAAGGGAAATGGTAGCAACAAGATGATTTCTTAACATTACCCACCAACAGAATCTCCAGGGCAGTAAGAAACAACTAGGTGGACACTACCAAACTCATGACTTAAGAGTTTTGCCCTTGAAGTTTGGCAAACTAGTATTTGCTGTAAAAACAACCTATGTGGTATGTGTATAATAGTATTCCTGAGAAAAACATGGCTCTCATTTATCTTTTTAAAATTTGCATTTGTTTTTAAATTAGCCTATAAAATACCACTATTGGATGTAGATATATAGAGAAAAAATGTGTTGGATATATTCCCCAGTGAAATATTATCCTTGTTTTATTTAAATAAGATGTTCTTTACTTTGTTTTGTAGTATAGTGCCAGTAATTAAAAATTTGTATTACAGCTTCAACATTAAGGTTGGCTTTTTTTTTTTTTAAGGTGCATTTACAATAAACTGAAGAACTACAATGCCCTTTTGTGGAAGATTTAGAAGTAATAGAATTATTAAAGATATTAAACATATTTAATACCAAGAAAAAGAAAATGAATTAATGTTAAGCTATTAACTTTAAATATGAAAAGCATGGGAATGATCATTTTTTTAATGTTTATTTTTTAGAGAGAAAGGGAATGATAATTCTTAATGAAGTAGGAATAGGAAGAAACTTAACCTGTTACAGGATATCTACTAGAAAATTTATATCAGATATCATACTTCATGGTAGAAAATTGAAATCATATCCTGTTAAGACTGGGAAAACACAAGGGTGGCCTGCTGTTTACCACTTCTGGTCAGTGTGTGTTAGAGATTTCAGTCTGCACAGTGAGATGATAAAAAGAAACAAAAGATAAGAGCTTGAAAAAGAAGCCATTGTTAATTAGGAGAGTTTGGGTAGCTCAGTCGGTTGAGCATCTGACTTCGGCTCAGGTCATGATCTCACGGTTTGTGAGTTCAAGCCCCATGGCCAGATCTCTGTTGCTTGCACAGAGCCTGCTTCGGATCCTCTGTCCCACCCCCACTCATGCTTGCTCTCTCTCTCTCAAAAAATAAACAAACATTTAAAAAATAAATAAATTACCATTGTGGATTTAAAAAAAGAAGAAGAAGCCATTGTTATTAGAGGTGGAATGTAGAAAATACATTGAAAAATCCAAGAGTTCAGAGATACATTTTTTAAATTAATAAGAGTTTGGGGTGCCTGGGTGGCTCAGTTGGTTAACCATCTGACTCTAAAAATTTGTATGGAAGTGGGG